TATATTCCGAAAAATACGGTAATTTTTTCAACATATTTAAGTTCCTTGTTATAAATTATAATCCTTTTACTGTCGTTTAATCAAATTATCATAAAGAAGTATAAAAGGCTTCACAATCATAAAAGCAAGTGTCGGTCAGTCACGCTCGATTTCAGGAATTACACGTGTCTAATTCTACTTGTTCTCCTATAATACCTCCTCTTTTGATTGCCCGTTCCCGTTTTAATTGAATTTAATCGCTAACATAGATGTAAATAGCTGCTAAATTGCGGCACTTTTTCTGCTATAGACACGTCTGTGAAAATAAGTAAATAATTATCGCAAATCTATGCTTGGGAATTATTACGAAAAAGTCTTTGTTAAAACAGGCTGAAGATACCAATTACATTTAGGGAAGAGGACAAAACGTAACTGAGCGACACCCCAACACAATCTGAACAGCCGACGAATACTGAAGTTGAGTGAAATATTTAAGAAATCTTAATGTGTGTTTTTGTATACTATGTTTTTAATCACCAATAAGGTAAAGTTACCCAAGCTACACATATTTTGTATTCCTTCTTAACAGCTAAAAAATAAAAGAGGCAAGGCTCAGCTTCTTCTTCATCGGGACTTAGATGATAAGACCTGGGAGGGTCAGGTTCAAATTGACCTCTTCCTCCCTCCTTGACTATTATTTCAATTATGCTTAAAGCTATTTAGTTAATGCTTGATTTTGCTGATTTGAAAATTTCTATTATTCAGTCCTTTTCAGGGCCATATCCATGGATGTTATCGTATTTGAACGTACGCCAGCTCCTGTACGCGAAAATCCAGGATATCATGCAACATCTGAACTTTATCAACTAAAATTAATTTCCGAGCAACAATTTCTTCAAAACATGTAAATTATTGTCTAAAATTGTAATGGCACAATTATACTGAGAAAATTTGAGGGCGGGGGAGAAAACCGCGGATAACCGACGATCGCATATAATCGAGGCACTAATGTAGCCTACATTTCCCGGTACAAACAGTAGTAAAGTTATATTAGGCACACCTGGCTCTTGCGTTTTTGGGATGGTTCCTAGATCTGAAAATATTTGTTGAAGCCTGTGTTACAGTGACATTCTGCACACTCTACAAGGGTGAAAACGTGTAAATAACAATTATCAATTGATTATATTAATATACCTTTCATGGGCCTCTGCAGAAAATTTTCCAGGAAAATGGAGGGGCGGGGGCAAGTGTAGAAAGAAAAAAATTCATACGAAGAAAACATTTGAAAAGCCAGAGGAAACTATGTCTTCAAGTACATAACTTAGAATTAACTTCTTTTTGAACGTGAAAATATATAACAAAAACACTGTACCACAAATAAAATTTGTATTAAGCTGAAAATACAACTAGATGATCCTGGGTTTTTCCCTACAAATCCGCAACACTAATTCTATTAA